CCCAACAAAAGAGATTACTCCATTATGGAGTATTTAAATCTCACAACAAAAGGTAATTCTAGAATATTTCCAATACTCTTAGAAAATCCAAAAACTAATAAGAATAAAATAAAATAGTTAAAGAAAGAAGTTAAGACCAAAGTTTAGATAAAAGTAGTTCTTCCTTCTTCTCCCTCTCCGATGCCAATATTGCATTCTATTTACAGCCAAATCTTGCAAGCATTAAATGATTAGACGTGTCCAAGGAATGAGCTTGGATGTGTCCGAGGAGTGAGCTTGCAAACGTCTGAAGAGTGAGCTTGGACACGTCTGAAGAGTGAGCTTGGATGTATCCGAGGAGTGAGCTTGGATGTGTCCAAGCTTCAATTATAGGCTTCCGTTTCCCATTTCAATTCTTGTGCTTGCCATAGCAGACTTTCATCGAGCATTTTGTCTTTTCCTTCTGTTATTTATAATCTTTTTTTTTTCTGCAAAAATAGTTAGAAAGAGGCAAAATACGAAACATAATTTATGTATATTATTTAAAGTAAAATATTAATAATATATAATAAGAAAATATTTTATATTCATTAAATACCCCCATGCTTGAATCATTGCTCGTCCTCGATAAGAATAACTTTATTAGTAATTATTGTTTCTTGTAAAGCGAAATATTGAAAAAATAAAAATTCACATAAAGTTCAACGCCATTAACTTTTTTCAAATTCAACAAATCTTTACCTTATTTCTACTTCTGCTTTTATTTAGCAAAAGAAATTTTGTATCTCGTATTCATGATGAACCTTTTGAGATTGATAACTTTATGATCACAACTCTTGAGTTTTTCAAATTTTTCCATAAGCTTGCCCTTCATGTTAGTCTCCACTAATATATGATCAACATTAATTTCTAAAATTTTCTTATGACTTTTTTGGTTTTGTAATATTTGGCTTAATGCTGGTAAGGGTAAAAGATATATTTATAGTGACTTGATTTTTTCAGCATTATCATAAGAGTTATTTATTTTGTCAACCACGAATTTATTTCGCAAGCATAAATACAATTTTTTTTGTATTATTGTATGGGACATTCATATATACATGAAGCACAATTTTCAGAATGCTCATTTTTTTCATCTTTTTTTTTTTTTTATAATTCTCCATCCCTTGCTTTGATAACCATTTCTTCTCAATTATAGATAGCTTGGAAAGAGTAAGAATATTACTTTTGTATTCTTTCTTACTTTTCTTTTCATGATGGTGTAGCAAAGAAATTGAAGGCTCAAATTTGGGTGCTAAAAGGATATATATGTACAATTTTTTTTCTTTTCGGAATAAAGATGCTAAAAATAAGTTAAACAAAGAAATCCTAATTTTTAAAAATCAATGTTGCCTGAAATTTCGCATCGATAGACATTTGGGGCAAGTTGTAGCAAAATTATATTGATTCTACCTATTTGTGATCATAATGCTTCTCAATTTCAACAATTTCTCATATTTGGAGATACTCACCCTTTGCCTTCATAAAAACAAAAATCACAAATTTGAAAGTTAGATGGCGTAAATGAAAAATATTATGTTCAACGATACGTAAAATTTTCTCTTAACACTTTAAAACCGTACAAGAGCAATACTTACGAATAAAGAATGATTATAAACTAAAGAAAATTAGTTATGCATAGATAAATATATTAGAAAATCCTTTATATATATATATTTTAGATTGAAAAGAGGAATATATAAATAAAATAAAATCTTTTTGACTTTCAAATTTATAATCACAGAAGAAAGTTTGAAAGAAACTGTGACTACACATGTTCTATGTGTAATAGACTAAGCTAATTTAACACTTTAACAGTCATAAAGTGCTGGTTATGAATATAAACAAGAAAATTTACTTGTGCCAACATTCGAATTGAATTATTAAATGGCTAACCAACCAGTTACTTAGGCATACCGATCACCATGGAGTTACTCCTATATAGGTGGCACTGTTTTTGTAGAGGCCTTCATGAGATGTTCCGGTTGTACAATAACCTGGATATTGACCAGATTAATTGGTTAAGCATTTAATTACCCAAATCTGTATCGGACTTATGAGGCTTCATTGCTTCACCCTCAATGGATACTTGTAGGGTATCATAGTTCTGAGTTTAACGTCGTCAGCTAGACTTATTAATTTTGAAATTCATCAATCTATCAAAGTGACCGACGGATTTTGCTCAAAATGTCCTCCAAAGTACATTTTTAGCCTGTGTCCATTTACCTTAAACTTGCCTTCACCATTATTTTGTTGGATTTCAATTGTACCATATGGAGTTACATCTGTAGCATTGTAAGGACATGTCCACCTGGATTTCAACTTTCATGGGAATAGCCTGAGTCGACTATTGTAAAGAAGTACTTGATCTCCCACTTGAAAACTTTTCTGTCTGATCAAATTGTCATGCCAGATTTTTGTTTTTTCTTTTAAAACTCTTGCATTTTCATAAGCTACTAATCTCAGTTCTTCCAACTCATTAACCTGAAAAAATCTATTTTTACCAGCAGAGGCTAATTCAAAGTTTAGTGCTTTTAGTGCCCAAAAAGCTTTGTGTTCTAATTCAACTGGCAAATGACAAGCTTTTCCAAAGACTAATCTATATGGGGATGTTCCAATTGGCATTTTAAACGTTGTTCGGTATGCCCATCATGCATCATCTTATTTTAAAGTAAAGTGTTTTCTTGAGATTCCAATCATTTTTTCGAGAATTCTTTTTAACTCATGGTTGGAAACTTCAACTTGCCCTTGAGTTTGAGCATGATATGGTGTTCCTGGTTTATGAGTCACACCATATTTTGTCAGCAAAGTAGAAAATTGTCTATTCATAAAATGAGTCCCTTGGTCACTAATGATGACTCGTGGTGTGCATCTGGTAAAAATATTTTTCTTGAGAAAATTGCACACAGTTCGAGCATCATTTTTTCTTGTAGGGATGGCTTCAACCCATCTTGACACATAATCCACGGCCACAAGGATATATTCAAAAGACTGAGAAGAAGGAAAAGGACTCATGAAATCTATTCCCCAAATATCAAATATTTCACATACCTGTATTGATTGTAATGGCATCTCATATCTCTTAGTGATGTTACGTATTTTCTGACACCTGTCACATTGTGCAACATATGCTCGGGCATCTTTAAAGAGAGTCAGCCAGAAAAATCCGGCTTCTAAAACTTTAAAGGCTGTTCGATTTGCCGCATAATGTCCTCCAATTGCTCCATCATGACAGTGATATAAAATTTTGCTCATCTCATCTTCAGGCACACATCTTCTAATGATATTATCTGCGCAATTTTTAAACAAGTAAGGTTCATTCCATAAATAATATTTTGCATCAGATATAAGTTTTTTTTCTTTGCTTGTAAGAGAGATCTTGGGGTGTCCACTTTTCAACCAAGTAGTTTGCAATATCTGCAAAACCAGGGTGGTTGAGTCACAATTGAGTTAACTGAGAAAATGTGTTCATCAGGAAATTCTTCCTTTATATTGCTAAATTCAAGGGGAGGATTTTCTAATCTAGACAAATGGTCAGCTACTTGATTTTCTGTTCCTTTTTGTCTTTTATCTCAAGGTCAAATTCATGTAGAAGTAAAATCCATCTTAACAATATAGGTCGAGCATCTTTCTTTGCTAAGAGGTATTTTAAAGCTGCATGATCAGTAAAAATAGTTACCTTGATTCCTATCAAATAAGATCGAAACTTATCAAAAGCAAATACTACTGCTAGTAACTCTTTTTCGGTTGTGGCATAATTGTTGAGCCTCAATCATTGTTCTACTAGCATAGTAAATGGGATGAAAGATCTTATCCTTTCTCTGGCCTAAAACAGCTCCAACTACTATATCACTAGCATCACACATGACCTCAAAAGGTTGATTCTAGTCTGGGGACACAACTACAGGGGCGGTTGATAACTTTTCCTTAAGGCTCTCGAATGCTTTCAAACAATCACCTGAAAAATAAAACTTAATATCTTTCATCAAAAGGTTAGTCAACTGTTTTGAAATCTTTGAAAAGTCTTTTATGAACCGTCTGTAAAAACCTGCATGACCTGGAAAACTTCTGATGCCTTTAACAGTTGTGGGAGGGGGTAATCATGCTATAAGATCAATTTTAGCCTTATCAACTTCTATCCCTTTAGCAGTGATTTTATGTCCTAAAACAATTCCCTCAGCAACTATAAAATGACATTTTTCCCAATTAAGAATCAAGTTTGTCTCTTCACATCTGTTAAGAACTAAGGTCAAGTGGTGAAGAAAATCCTCAAATATTTTGCCAAAGAGTGTAAAATCATCCATAAAAATTTCAAGAAATTTTTCAGTCATGTCAGAAAAAATTGCTGACATGTAACGCTGAAATATAGCAAGGGCATTGCAAAGACCAAATGGCATTCTCCTATAGGCATATGTTCCATGAGGACATGTGAAAGTTGTTTTGTCCTGATCTTCAGGTGCAATTGGTATTTGGTTATACCTTGAATAGCCATCAAGAAAACAGTAAAAACCTTATCCTGCAATTCTTTCTAACATTTGATCAATAAATGGTAAAGGAAAATGATCTTTTCTAGTAGCATCATTGAGACGTCTGTAATCAATACAGACTTTCCATCCTATGACGGTCCTGGTAGGTATGAGTTCATTACTTTCATTTTTTATAACAGTCATACCTCCTTTCTTTGGTACTACCTGAACTGGGCTTACCCAAGGGCTGTCTGAAATGGGATAGACAATACCTGCCGCCAAAAGCTTTACGATCTCCTTTTTTACTACTTCCTGTATTGCTGCATTCAATCTCCTTTGGGACTGGACTATTGGCCTGTATCTATCCTCCATAAGGATTATGTGCGTACAAACAGCTGGATTAATCCCTTTGATATCTTCTATAGTCCATCCTAAGTCTCCCTTGTGTGCTTTCAACACTTCAATCAGTTTTTTTTCTTGTCATGCAGTAAGAGAAGATGAAATAATTACTGGAAATTATTCTTTCTCAAGGTAAACATAATTTAAATGAGACGGGAGAACTTTGAGTTCAATTTTTGGTTGAAATTGTTCTGTTTGGATCTCCTCATCTTCAGAATCTTTTTCTAGTATTTCAGTTTCTCTTCTGATGATAGGATCATCATCTTGTGTTGTGCCAGATTTGGCCAAAGTTCTTTCCATTGAGTCTGGAATTAATTGATCATCTTTGAATTCATTTGTAAGATAATTAAGCATGTCAATCGAAAAACACAACGATGACGTCTCATCTCCTGAAAATCTTAATATCTTTTGCATATCAAAAATGACTCTTTCTTCATCAACTCTCAAAATTAGTTGTCCTTGATGGACATCTATGATTGCTCTATCTGTGGCAAGAAATGGTCTACCCAAAATGATTGGTTCATTAGGACATTCCTTCATTTCAAGTACTATAAAATCTACAGGGAAAACAAACTTACCTACTCTTACGAGCACATTTTCAATTATTCCCTTAGGTTTCTTAGTGCTTTGATCTGCAAACTGAAGAGAAACACATATGTCTTTCATTTCACCAAGATTCAATTTTCTAAAGATAGAAAATGGCATCAAATTTATTGAAGCTCCATAATCACAGAGTGCTTTTTCAAAATATACTCCTCCCAAAGCGCATGGAATTGTAAAACTGCCTGGGTCACCAAGATTTTGTGGTAGCTTATTTTGAAGTATAACTCTGCATTTTTCAGTAAGCATTACCACAGAAACTTCTTCCAATTTTCTTTTGTTTGACAAAATTTCTTTTAAAAATTTGGCATATGAAGGCATTTGCAATAAATCATCAGTGAACGGAACATTGATATGAATCTGTTTTAAAATCTCCAAAAATTTGGCAAATTAACTATCAAGATTTTCTCTTTAAAGGAATTGTCACAGGGAGAGGATTCAATTATACAATATTCTTTTCTTCTTTTTTCTTGACTTCTTTCTTTTCAGATGGTTCAGAGGGTATTTCAACATTCTTACTGTTATTTACCTGTTGTTCTGACTAGTCTGCATAGGGTTCATCAAGCTCCTTACCTGACTATAAGGTGATGGCCTTAAGGTGATCTTTTGAATTTTTCTCCGTATTACTTGGTAAGAGACCCTGAATCTTTTCTGACACAAGTGCTGCCAATTGGCTTAATTGAATTTCCAGATTTTTAAGGGCTAAACCTTGACTTTCCATCTTTTTATCAGTGATCTTAATGTACTTGTACAAAAGGTCATCAAGACTAGGATGGTCTTGTTGAGGCCTTTGCTGATATGGAGTTGTTTGCTGATAAGGTCTGAAGCTTGATTGACCATGGTTTGGATTCTGCTATCCGAGTGGATCCTGTATTTGTTGCTTCTGGAAGCTTTGAGAGTTCTCAGCACCATTTGGATTGCTCCATTGAAAACCTGGATGTTTCTGTGCCATTGGACTTTCAAAAGGATATTGCTTGTAACCGATGACATTGACATGTTCATTATTGTGATTGGTTGCCTGACATTCATGGTTCTGATGATTTCCTCCACACATGTCGCAAACCTCAGAATGGCTTGGTTGTTGTGTATTCACCTGAAAAGTTTCAAACTTTTGCGCCAAAGAAATAATTTATTGTGTTAGTGTATTTAAAGCATCAACCTGATTCACCATAGCAGCCTTCTTGATGATTACACGCTCAGATGGCCATTGGATGGCATTCTCAGAAATCTCGTTCAACAATTGCAATGCTTCCTCCGTGGTTTTTCCCATTACAGAACCTCCTGCAGCTGTATAAATCACATTTCTAGAAGAGGGTTTTAACCCGTGATAAAAAATATACAACTGCATATGTTCAGGAATGTCATGGTGTGGGCATTTTCTTAAAATTGCTTTTAATATTTCCCAAGCTTGATAAACCGACTCAGTGTCAATCTGCAAGAAATTAGAGATGTCTTATCTTAACTTTGTGGTTTTAGCAGGGGAAGAATATTTGTTTAAAAATTTCTGAGTCATTTGATCCCATGTGGTGATGGAACCTTGTGGCAAACTTTGCAACCAAGTCTTGACATCTCCTTTTAAAGAGAAACGAAATAGCCTTAACTTGCTAACTTCAGGAGGTACTCCATTATACTTAGCTGTTTCAACAAGTTCCAATAAGTCAATTAAATGATTGTGTGGATCTTCACTTGCATCTCCATTGAAGATACAAGATTGTTGAACTGTTTGAATCATGTCGGTCCTGATTTTAAGGTTGTTGGCCGCCACTGGAGGTTTTTCTGACACTAGATTTGCAATTGAAGAGGTCAGGTCTAGCATAATCCCTTAGGATTCTGTTTGCTGGCCTTGGTGGTACTTCATCAAATTGATCCTCCATATGGACTGGTAGTTGAATGTCTTCTACTTCTTGATTCTCCATACCTTCACGAGCTACACTTTGAGAAGATATTGTTTGTCCTTTCCTGCACAATCGAAGATATTTTTCAATTTCTGGATCGTAACTAGCTAACTTTTTTGAAGAAGAGAGGGTCATAAACTACCTAAAATTTTAAAGAGAAGAAAAATAATAATAAAGTAACACTAATTTCTAAAGAATTACTAAAAATAACTAAAGAAATTTTCAAAAATAACAAAAATAGTTAGTTGAAAAAAACATACGATAATATATATTAAGTATAAGTAAAGATATTACTAGTAATATTATACTAAAAATACTTAAGGAAAACTAATGATAGAAGTAGTGGGTAGAAGTACTTAACAGTAGATAGTGAGAATACTGACAGAAATAATAATAATAATAATAATAATAATAATAATAATAATAATAATAATAATAATAATAATAATAATAATAATATTAATATTAATAATTATACTAATAAATTCTCAAATTAGTAAAAAAATATTTAATCTGAAGTAGATGTATGATAATCCCCGGCAACGGCGCCAAAAAATTGACGAGACCAGTGTGCATATGATTTTTCTGCTCGTACTCAGTCAAATTCTAGTATAGATTATGATATCGTCCCACAGAGATTGGTTGATCTAGGGTACAAACTTTTAATATTTTTACTACTATTTGAGAGAACCAAATTGATAAAAGGTGAATTTTAAAACTTGTTATTTAATTAAAGCAAAGCAAACATTTTCTGAAAGATTTATAATTTAAAAGAGTTGGGAATCGTTGAATTCACTTGATAATATTATTACAAAAAAAATCTCAATTTCTACATGTATTTCTCTAAAGAATAATTGCTTATTGCTAATACAATTATATTTGTTCACTAAGAAAAAATTCAATTAATAGCACTCACAAGAATTAAAACTGAGACAAACAAAATTACATATTTGAAATAAGAGTTTTACGAAAAATTATTCTCACTCTACTATTTTATTCGTTGGTTATTATATATTAATTTTGCTCCGTGAGAATTACAAAATTAATATAAGAATAACTTAAATAAATTATATAGAAGTGATAATAATGATTAGTTAGAAACCATTATTTCAGCACGGTATGAATTATACAATGAAAATTTCAAGCCAAGGATGTATTAAAACTGAAATAATATTATAAAAATATATATCAAGCTTCATCAACTATCCCAACAAAAGAGATTTCTCCATTATGGAGTATTTAAATCTCACAACAAAAAGTAATTCTAGAATATTTCCAATACTCTTAGAAAATCCAAAAACTAATAAGAATAAAATAAAATAGTTTAAGAAAGAAGTTAAGACCAAAGTTTAGATAAAAGTAGTTCTTCCTTCTTCTCCCTCTCCTATGCCAATATTGTATTCTATTTATAGGCAAATCTTGCAAGCATTAAATGATTAGACGTGTCCAAGGAATGAGCTTGGATGTGTCCGAGGAGTGAGCTTGGATGTGTCCGAGGAGTGAGCTTGGATACGTCTGAGGAGTGAGCTTGGACACGTCTGAAGAGTGAGGTTGGATATGTCCGAGGAGTGAGCATGGATGTGTCCAAGCTTCAATTATAGGCTTCCGTTTCCCATTTCAATTCTTGTGCTTGCCATAACAAACTTTCTTCGAGCATTTTGTCTTTTCCTTCTATTATTTATAATCTTTTTTTTCTGCAAAAATAGTTAGAAAGAGGCAAAATACGAAATACAATTTAAGTATATTATTTAAAGTAGAATATTAATAATATATAATAAGCAAATATTTTATATTCATCACCTCCTCACCCCCTCTATCTCGGTGGGGAGTATTGTCACACCTCCTTTTTCCGCACCCGAAGGGCGCAGGGGAGTTTTTTCCAATTAAAGGACAATCGAAATGGGATTGGTTTATTTATTTCAG